ATAGCAAGCGACACGGTATCTTAGCTGTTTCCAGACGGCATGCATGAATATTGTCATGTCATTACTCTCCGAGTTCAAGAAGATTCCTGGATGCCTAAGAATATACTGGGCAAGACAAGCATTAGCCCCTGTGCCTAGCACACTCAAGGTTCCAACTGCAGTCTTCCAGACAAGCAGAGATATTTCATTGTATTCAAAAGACTAACAAACCGTAACACATTCTATAGTGCTTTAACAAATGCAATGGACAAACATTTAACACAAATTGATATAGTCCCACAAGCTATTAATTGTAAAGAACACACTTCAGAAGGTCAGCTGTTAAAAACACAGGCCGAGAACATCTGATCTTTATCTTCCCAAAAATACTTTTAAATATGTCTTTTATTCAAAGGCTAACCATCTCCTTTCTCTCTACTTAGAAGTCTTCCAGTACTTTAATAAAAATGAAGTATTCTGCTTCAAAAACCTATTTTGGAGTGTCTATATTTTTGTACTAGGAAGCCTTCCACAGTAATTTACATTGATTATTTTGGCATCTAAAGTAAAGGTACTGCTCATAGCCAGCTCAAAGCTTTTAAAAACCTCTTAATGTTCTGCTGAACTACCAGTTGGCTCAAGTATCTATGGATTCTGCATACATTTCTGTTTGGTGAAAAACAAATCCATGCACACAAAATCCCCAGCATACTAGACACCCTGTGAAGAAATAATAAATTGAGATACTGTGTTAAATAGAAACATAGGGGCTTGGGGGTATTTTTGTTTTTTATCACGACCTAAGCTAATACTAGTTCCAACATTATCAGTGGGGAGAAAAAAAACATTTTGAATGGCATATGTATTCTTTTGATTTTGAGTCTGCACTTCGAGCAATCAAGTGACTCCCTTGAAAAAAATTTTCACCTTATCTTCAATCACATGCTTAAGAAACATTTCATTAACATGGCTAGTTGCTTTCAAGGTTTTAGATTTTTTTTTTTTCCCAAACAAAATCAGTAAAATACTGTAAAACAAAAACCAAACACTAAAACACTGCCATGAACATAGGCAGTTGAAACTCCAAAGGCAACTCACATAAGCATAATGCAATGACTTGAATGCATGATTTCTCATTTCAACTTCCTAATAACAAACCAGCACTAAAATGCAATTCGTGAAAAAATACGGTATGCCATATGGCTAAAACTGGATATTAAAATTGAGAATATCAATTACCAAATCCACTAATGCTGAGAGCCAAAATCCATGGACAGTAAGAATTTAATCCAATTCAGCGACTAAAACATGAGCTGAGCCCGACATAGAGAAGACAAATCTATTGCTGGTTTCACAGAAAGGAAGCAACTCCAATTTTTATTTTTTTTTTTTTTTTTTAATTGAAGTAACTACAAAACTAACTAAATGTAACACTTCGCATTCCTAACTACCACAACAGGCATCATAAGAACCTACAAAAGCAACACAAGTTGCACATGAATTGGCATCTTGTTTCACACTGATTGAGAAATCCTAACTAAGTAATATTGAAGAAGAAACAGTTATAGTTATTTTCCACATGACCAAATTGAAGCCTCCAAAGCACCAGGAAGTTATTACACACTGCAACCAACATCTTGCTTCATTTCAGGAAAAGGCATCCTACAAGCACAAAATATATATTTCTACCATAATTAATGGTTCCTGAAAGTAATTGTATTAATTGAAGGATTTTCTTATTCTAAGTATATTAGTTTAATTGTTCTAGTTTTAAAATTTTTAATAGCTTGGAGATTAAAAGTAATGCTACAGAAAATTCTATACACTTCCTAATTATGTAAAACTTTATTGGTTGCTTACATTTAATGAGAAGACTATATGTGTAAATACAACATTTTCAGATTTTCATGATGTATGGATGGGATTTAAAAACTGTTCTGCTAAGATTTACTGTGTAATTCTAACTTCACATGTTGAAAAGTATTTCAGGGTAGGATGCTTGCTACGTACTGACTTAGCAGCTGCAAGGACTCAGCAAGGATAAATGCAATTTATCTTACCCAATACTGAATCCCACCTCGCCCTTTCTGATCCTGTACTAAAAGGCCATGGTACCAAAAAAACTGCACAAATAGTTTCAAGTTCAACAGCACATTAAAAGCACTATCAAATGGAACTATTAGTTTATTGGACAAGTATTCTTGATTTTAAAAAATCGTTCTTGACAACCAGAGGAATAAAATGCAGTCAGCTAATTTCAGCTTTTTTCTTTTTTAAAAAATTAATTAAAAAAACCCCAAACAACAAACCAAACAGCAGAAGCCACAACTGCAAATTATCTCTTCTGCTTCCTAGATTCCTTCTATATGAACTACAGCTGGGATATTACAATAAACTAACAACCAACTGATTATACATTAAGTCATAGATAAACAGTACTAAAAAGGTTGATATTACCAAAGGTTTGGAGGTCATTTGAATACAGAAGACATAACAAGCTTTTCTTACTTTTTCTTGCTGGGAAGTGTATTATTTTAAGCCTGAGTCCAGTATATCAAATATTAACCAAGCTATTTCATTAAGGCTACCAAAGTGAAGAAGCTTGGCACTTTAGTGAAATGCCATAAAAGTTGCAAACTGAAAGTCCATTTTTCTTAAAAGATACCAAAAAGCATACATAAAAGGCTCTAGAAATTTGTAATGTCATATTTTAAAATACAACACTTCACAGACACAGAAGTGATTTAATATCCCCCAAACCTTTTTTATTCTTTCCCACATAAAAAGAACAGTTACCTAGAGTATGACAATAACTCCAGGTCAAAAGCAGTTTTAAAAGCCTCCACAAATTGTTAGCATTCTGAAGCAGATGGGAGATTCTTGTATTACAGAAAGATAACTGTCTGCACGGAGCCTGATGATTACCTGGCTAGTAGAGAACCAGCAACAGTACACAGCCCCAGCAGAGTCTTTGTATACCTGTGTTCTAGGTTTAAAATACTGTTTTTCAGCAAGAGGCTTAATAAAAGCCAAGAACATTTTGATGGTATTAAGCAGGCACTGCAAGGTAAAAAAGAAAATCATGTCACCCCTTTATCCAGTAAGAGCCTATGTGAATATTTCAATAAAACTATTTACTCCTCCCACCTAGTTCCTATCTGGAGAAGCTCACAAAAATTAAGAAAAAAAACCCCACAAATTTCTTGCAACGATCCTCCAAATGCTCCTCCTACCCCTACCCCCACCCCAAAAAAAAGAAGAAAGCAAAGAGAATGAGAAAGTAAATCTAAAATACAATTACGAAATAAGATCTAGTTTGGCAAAGCTGTGGTGAGGAGGAGTTGAAAAATGAGAGCTGCCTTGCTGCAAACGCCATCTTGTTGCAGCTATTGGGCCCAGGCACAGAAAGATCCATTCATTCACAGCAAAAAGAAAATCAAACACACACCCTGGCTAATCTGCAGCCACCAAAACAACTACACTATTATCACTCCTTCTCTTTCTCCTCTCCTAAAGCCCACGAGGGGGAAAAAAAAAAAAAAAAAAAAAAAAAAACCCAAACCTCCGATATATTACATTTAGAACAAATTTAGATCTTAATCCAGTATCTTCGTTTTCTCACATGTATTTCACATACACATCGACAGCATTTTGGCTTGATTCACATCCTTGTGTTTAGCAGATCAGCTTAAAATATGGGGTAAATCATGATGAGGTGAGGATATTATACAGCAGCAAAATGTTTTTCTGTCTTAAATCACCTCTCCAAGTTGAGCCAACTATTCTCAAAAGCCGTTTCAATAACCACTTAAGCCTTACATTTACAGTCCTCTCCTCCTATTTTCTACTGTGGAGACAATACATAATAACGTGGCAGTCGGCATCCTAGAAAGGATGCCTTATTAAAATAACGAGTCCCAGCCATGACTTTGGTGGAGAATAATGAAATATTACATTCGTTAAAATTTCAGTTCATCTTCAGGAATGATAATTTTTTTTTTTTTTTTTTTTTAGTAAAACACCTCGCCTCTTTCATATTTACATACAAGACTTTACACCTCTTCATTTCCCACAAAGCTGTAAATTAAAAATCCTACACCTTAAATACCCCTTGTATAGGTAGAAAATATACTTAAATCCTTTCAATAATAAGCTGGGAAGGGAAATAACATTTTAAACATTTCCGGGGAGAAAACTCCATTTTTCTATTGTAGCAAACACCCTCCATGATCTTCCTTATTGCTGCTACGGGCACACAAAAATATGCAGCACCGTAATACATGGGGGAAACAAGAAATATGCGGTCTAAATCCATCCCCGGTTCTGGTTTTAAAGAGAACAAAACCTTCGCTACCCCTCCCTCCCCCAGCACACACAGCATGAACCCAATCTGCGAGCCCTTCCCTGGACTGGGGGCTGCTGGAAGCAGTCTTACCCTGTTTGTCTCACCCCCGTCTCCTCTTAATCAGTTTTCCACCATTACAGCAGCCACACCATAGCTTTTTCTTGAATCTCTCTCCAAATATTCCCTCTGCCGGCTGGATCGCTCGGGAAACTCGCCTTTTTGTATCTCTAACGCGTTACACGAAAACACCTCAGACCGTCTAGCAGAGCCCACTACAGCGTAATTATAATTAAAAATGGAACCCCGCAAGATCCAAGGTCTCCTCCCTTTTCGCCTTAAAGCCTTCAAGAGAGAATCAGTCCCACCCCCACCTTTTTCTCCTCCTCCTCCTCCTCCAGCTACAAACACACTTCTTTTTTAGGGGAAGCTGGAGCACCGAGGAGGTGGGGAGGCGCGGGGGAGGGGGGCTATTTCCAACCCCGCCATACTAAGAGGTGGACGAACCATGAGCCGCCCTTCTCCCCGGCGGGGGCCGTGAGGAACGGGTGGGCGAGGAGGAGGAGGAAGAGGAAGAAGAGGAGGAGGGCACCGCCGTGGCAGCAAGGGGAGGGGTG